GGTATAAAAACTTTAAACCTCAAATGTTTTAAGAATAAAACAAATCGTGCATCTATGAAAAGATGAGCATAATGGCTTTTTCGTAGCATGCCGAGTGCACTTCCCAACTGGTCTTGCACAGCATTAGCTGAACAATTCTCATTAGCATTAATATGTTCTTAAGTTTCTACTGTCCTATCATTTAAGCAATAATTTGAGGATCAATTCGATTTCATGGGAATTTCACTATTCCAGGCCAGCTTTGTGACATAGAGAAATTTAGTTATTGAGATACTTAAGGTTTCATGGTCTTTTGTGGAGCAATTGAGCACATACACCACACACACTAACTCAACTAATGTCATGGATGAAACCGGTTACAAAGTAAGGTCGCTTCTGAGGTATGGATGCCCATCAGCCTCCCCCCTTCCATCTCTCAGCTCCCAGCTTGTTTGCAGACGCCACAGTGAATAGGTCATCCAGCGAAATATCGGGGTTGGTCCCTTAAGAGATTTAAGACACACTTAAAGAATACTTGAGTCCCTATTCCATTCTGGTTGCTTCTTGGGTTAAGGCATTGCCTCTAGATGGTCTCTGGTAAGACAACAATTTCTGATCTGGGAGAGTTCACAGGAATTCATTAGCACAGATCCCTACAGGTAGCAGGTGTTCAATATATGCTTATTGAATTGAAATAACACCCAGGAGATCACGTCCATGTGATTTGCCCAATGAGTAACGAGCAGAAGAATCAGAGGACAGAGCACGAGTCGTGGGTGCTGGATAGGGGGACAGAGGAGAGAGCAGAAAATACAAATCCCACCTGAAAATTCAGAATTCTTATGAAAAAGGTTTAGAAAGGAGCTTCACTGTCTGCTGAGCAAACTATATTCTTGACACCAAAAAGTATTTCTAGTGGTTGCAAGAAAGTTCAGAAAAGTTACCATTGTAAGCTTTGGCAGCATTCCATACAGTTTCCTTCATTGGAAGTAGGAGAGGCCTGAGGATTAAGAACATTGCACTAAGACTGATAGGTTCTGAGATTTCTGAACTTTGACACCAACGAACCTACAAAAATTTCAGCAAGTCTCCTGGCTGCTGGGAACCTCTTACTATGATGTTCTTTAGAGATAATCCTGCTCCAAGCTTAGTTTAGCTTCCTAAGACAAGCCCTGAAGATGGCCAGTCAAAACAGCCAAATAACACGCATTAAGAAAATTTCATAGAGTCTTCTGCTATAAGATATAGATGTATTTCAAAAAGTATTTGCATCATGCAAAATCACAGGACTTACAGAAAAAATAGAAACAGACCACTCAAAACTTAGGCAACTTTGTAATGAAAACATCCACAAAAAGAATAATGAACCTAATAAAAATATTCTCACAACTTAAAGAAAAATCAAATTAACTTCCTGATTTAAAAAGACTATGTAAACACAGGAATTTTTACCTTAAAAAAAAAAGATATATATTTTACCACAGTAAAAAAACAGAGAGAGAGAGAAGATAGCTCCATGGAAGGGATACAGTGAAAGACTGAGGCTGATGATTTGTGGAGACAAAAGCAAAATACCCAAAGATCAGAGAGAACCCCACACTGAACACTTCCAAGACAAAGCACATGGCCAAACTCTTCGCAGGATGGTCTCTTCCTTCACTTAGTTTGGCTGTAGGTTCTATATTCTACATTCTTCCACAGCTTGCTGCATTCAGCAGCTGTTGTTCAGTGATGCAAAGCATTAATAATGTGAGAAAAGTCATGGGTGACCAACATGACTTCTGAGTCGTACTGGCCAATTCTCCTATTTGCCAGTTGTGTAAGAGCTAATTCATGTTTTGGAACATACTACAGACTCCGCTGGAAAAGTTGCTGCCCAAAGGTTGGCATGGTATTTTTTGAGAAAATAGAAGACACCTAAGTGTCCTATATGCATTACTCCTTAAATAATACAAACCTGAACCAAATAACCTCAAAGACCCTATTCCATTTTAGGAATATTCAATTCTGGAGACCCAAGAGCAGTTTAATTTTTTTAATGATAGGTAAATGACAGCACCTGTAGATCATATGGATGTAGATTAAAATAAACGTAGATACTAACTGGTGGGAAACTGTCGCCCAGTGCCTCAAGTGTAAAAGGAATTTTTCATAGAGAAGTAATGATTTTAACCAAGTCATCCATCAGGGGATACCTGTGCTTTTGGGAAACAAGTGCCTAAGGTGTAGACAGGATTTTTAGATCCAAGAAGGATCTTTTCATTTACAGCCATTTGAAGACACACTCACAGTAGTCAACATTTTCCAGCCTTTGGGAATTGTTCAATTAATGAATGGCCAACAGGCTATGTTCTACTCTATTGCTTTTCACCAAAAGAATTTATAGTGGCCTCTTTCTTTTAGGCATTTCTTGATGCTAAGCAGCTCGCCCTTTTAATCTGCTGTATTCAGCACAAAATCTGAAACACAAAATAAGAGCAGTGGTTGACTTCCATAACTGCTTTTTGTTTTACCTTGTTGGCCCCCTTTTGCCCTATTTGAATAGTACTGTATCTCCTTCACATTCCATTCTTAATGAGGTTATTTACCTTGCATACCCAATGAGATCGTACCTCATAGAATAAATTCTCTTCTCTGAGATATGTCTGAGAGGGCATCCTATTCAGCTATTAAAAGGATTAACCTTTTAACTGAGAGTGGTCTTAAGGCTGGACACAACTTTCATGCTGAGCTTTCAATTACTTAAAGATGTCACGATAGTACACAGAGGTTCTTACATTTACATATATTAGTAGATCAGCCACAAAAATAACCGCACACTAACTTTACAAAATGGCTACTAAAGAAAGCTCATTTGTTACTATATGTGCATTGCTCTTGCTTATAAGTGTTAATGAAATACACGTGTGTTAATAATGTAAATTGGGAAGTATAAAATATCATTTTTAATGCATTAGTATTGCTATCAATTATCTGTGCTAATGAAATAATAATGGAGGTACAATCCATATGGACCCTTCAAATTTCCTTTTAGCCAATAATTGTTCTTTTCTATTCACCCAACTTTTTACCATAAGTGATAACATTGACTACCTTAATTCCATCTTCTTATATTGTCATCCCAGGTGGGAAACAATAACAAACAGAGAAATGGCCCAAAGCCTGGAAACAGAAAAGGGACAAGGAAAAAGCAAATGGCTTGGATAATCCACCATTTGGACAATCAATTTGGCTTTACTTCATCAGTGGGGTGGTGGTGGAGGTGAGGGGCAGGTGGTTGGTGATGGGAGGTTAGGGAAAGAAGGAAAAAATTTTTCAGTTACTTATTTAGGCTTATGTAAGTGATTACATTCAAAGGTAAGATTAAAAAGAATTTTCATAAATCTTTTTTCCACGGTGGCACAGCTCACTCTCAGATTCTCATGAAGATTATCACCTAGTCTGCGTGAATAAGTGTCATACTGACCTAAAAATGATATGTTTATAGGGGTATCCAAGGCACTGGGAGAGCAGCTCTCTTAAGTCAAAACAATTTGGTCTCTAGTCTCGGGGAAGTAGTAATTAAAAGCAAAATCTCCTTGGGGCTGGCCTGGCTGTGCAGTGGTTAAGTTTGAGCACTCTGCTTTGGCGGCCCAGGGTTTGTGGGTTCAGGTCCCCGCACGGACCTACACACCGCTCGTTAAGTCATGCTGTGGCAGCATTCCACATACAAAAAAAAAAAATACAGAGGGAAATTGGCACAGATGTTAGCTTGGCAACAATCTTCCTCAAGCAAAACAAAAGAGGAAGATTAGCAACAGATGTTAGCTCAGGGCCAATCTTCCTCACAAAAATAAATAAATAAGGAGAATTTCCTCTTGGACATAAACCATCTTGTCCATCTCCCCTGCAAAAGTTCCAGGAAAATCAGCCTATTCATTATTGTTCTGGGGCTCATGGATTATTTCTAGAGAATTCAAATATTTATGGATAACCTACCAACTGCTAGATACTGGGAATACAGCAGGAAACAAAACATTCAGAAATTTCTGGCAATATGGATTACTTTCTACTGGGGTAAGGGGTACAATAAACAAAGATGCAAAACATATGATATGTTGATGGTGATAACATTGCTATTGATGGTGATAATAGAGAAGTTTTAGACAATTTTAATTGAGGAAGAAAGCAGGAAAAGGAAATGTATGTGTATTTTAAGGTGGGTGATGTCAGGTGGGGGAAGACAAGTTGATGTTTGAGTAAAGACCTGGGCCTGAGGGGTCCAGCTAAGCAAATATGTTTAAGCCGGAAGGACCATTAAGAGAAAAGGCCAGTGAGGCCAAAGAGAGATGGGATCATGAGAACAGGAGCATCAAGCAGGGGGTGAGGGTTGATAGTGTGGGACTTTGTAGGCCATTGCAATGACTTGGGCTTTTCCTCTAAATAAGCTGGGGAACTATGGACCTAAACTATGGACCTAAGTGTCTGTCAACAGATGAAGGGATAAAGAAGAAGACATATGTATATATCTATATATATACACACAATGGACTATTATTCAGCCATGAGAAAGAAGGAATCCTGCCATTTGCAACAACTTGGATGAACCTTGAGGGCATTATGCTAAGTGAAATAAGTCAGAGAAAGACAAATACTGCATTATCTCACTTATACATGGAATCTTAAAAAGACAAACTCAGAGAAACAGAGAGTAGAGTGGTGGTTACCAGGGAGTGGAGGGAGGGGAGATGGTGAGATATTGGTCGAAAGTGCACACTTCCAGTTCTAAGATTAACAAGTTTGGGGATCTAACATACAGCATGGTGATTATAGCTAACAGTCCTGTATCACATACTTGAATGTTGCTAAGAGAGTAGGTCTAATGTTCTTCCCACAAAAAAAAGAAATGGTAGCTATGTGACAGAATGGAGATGGTAGCTAATCCTATGGTGCTGATCATTACACAATTTATAAATGTATCAAATCAATACATTGTACACCTGAAACTTACACAGTTATGCCTCCGTTATATCTCAATAAAGCTGGAGAAAAACAAAGAACAAAAAACCAATGAGAACTGTGAGGAAGTATGGGAAGGGTTTCGAGTAGAGGAGTTGTCAGACCCTGTGAGCAAGCTCCCTCTGGCTGCTGCTGGGCATGGATTGTGCGAACAGCGGACGAGTGCCTGCTACAATAACCCAGAGGAGAGACGAGAGGGCCTTGGACCTGAAAGAAGAGCGGAGTCCATGTCTGGACAGCACGGAGAGCAGAGGCTGCCAAAGAGACAGCCAACATCTACATCACAAGTGAGTTTATTTTACAAATTCTAATTCATAATATTTATGTGTTGTGAAATTAGTGGCCTCCAGTGTTAAGATTTGTTATAAAATACATTTGTGTGTGCTTTCTTTAAAGTTACTACACATCCGTACTAAAAATTGAGTCAAACATTTGAGGAATGACAGAGAGCCCTTGTGGAATCTAGGGGTTCCATGAGGCACGGCACGCAAACTGGAGCTCCCTCAGTTGCTCTGTGAGGACTGATGAAGGTGGCCCCAGGGTGCTCTTGGCAGGTGCCAGGGAGGTGGGGCTGTTGAAGTGACTGGAAGCAGCAGACCAGCCCACTTCCTCATCACTCTCCTGGGAGGGCCTGCGTCTCACAGCCCTGAACTACTTCCTTACTCACCTCACCAAACATCTAGCAATAATGTTTGACAGCAAAATGTGTTAGTAGAAGTTTATAGAAAGCATGCTCTTTGTGAATAGAAACATCACAAAAATACACGAATTACATATAATAGAAAAGAGTCATGAGAACTGCATGGAAAAGCCATAAAGGACGGAGGGAAAGGTTGATTACCACCCCCTGCCCCCGCGAGTTCAATAGAAGGACATGCAAAGTCCTGGGAAGCAGGTGCTGGGTGAGTGCACGATGATTGCGGAGGAAGGATGTGAGAGGAAGGAAGGGGAGAGGGGCCAGACAAGGCAGCTGACTAGCGTGGGGTCCTTCATGGGGCCAGTGCCTCTTACCAAAGGTTAAGTGGGGAAAGGCAGCGGGTCATCAATGCCTGAACCTGTAGGTAAAGCCCAAGGGGATGGGAGCTATGAATCGCAGTAGTCCATCCCCTTCCCTCCCTGCCTTCAGGAGAAGACCTGGAGGCACAAGGAAATCCAACACTGAGGTTTCTTCCTTCCATTCAGGAATCCCAAATTTCAGAGAAGATAAGCATCTATATCAGGGGCACAGTGTCCTGTTAAGAAACAATTCAACTCAACAAGCATGCGTGGAGAACATACTCTTTGCCAAGCACTGTCCTAAGTGGAGAGTTGAAGGTAGCCAAGAGACTATTAGTCCCTCAGTGAATCTGCCATCCAGGAAGAAGTCTGGATATACTTTGTATATCCATCCTTTGTATAAACCAAACCAGCATTTGAAGTGTGCTCAGAAAAACATTTTCATAGACAAGAAATATTAGGTATTTTTCAGTGCTGTCAGTGAAAATCTCATTGGAAAGATGATTTTTTAAATGGCACACAATCAAAGAATTTAGACGTTGGTTTTAGAAATTCACTTAGTACCAAGAATAGAAATGTAATTTATGTACAGAGCAACTTATAATGATCTTTTCTGCTGTTGTCACAAATCAACCTGACTCTGCATGGTATCACAGAAGAGCCATGGCCAACGGAGAAAGCGGAAAGAATGCACACTGCCCTGTACTACGTGGAGAAGGAGCCAGCAAGCAGTATGGTACTGTATTCTTTTTCAGCTTCTAAAATAATAGTAACATCTCCAATAGTGTTTCATAAAATCAGGGCAAACTAAGGAGTGGTCATCTTAATAAAGGGATTCTTCAAGATGTTCTTCAGAATATTGAATAAAAATGTTACTATGGAATATTTTTACAGAGTATTTTAATCACTTTAAAGTATGTAAGGTAAGGGGAATGTTACTAGTAAAGGGGCACTTTTAACAAATGGATAAGACTGGAGGTGGAGTGATATAGTGAAACATTTATGGACCAACCCAGGCTCAAATCCTGCCTTCACCACTTACTAGCTGTGTGACCTTGGATGAGTTACTGAATTTCTTTGAACTTCAGTTTCCTTATCTATAGCATGGAGATGAAAATTATCTATTTCAAAGAATTCTTCTGAGGATCAAATGACACTGTGTATACAAGATGTCTTACAGAAGGTTGGGTATATATTAAGCATTTGGCCAATTATAATTTACCGAGTAGGAAACCAGCACATCAGAGTGCCTCCAGGTACACTACTGTACCCAGTTACATTTAAAATAATTACCATAAAGTAAATACCATAAAGTAAAAACCTTACATATCCTATAAATTCACCTATCTAATCTTCTAAATCATGAAATTCATTCTCATCTCTTTCACAAATTATCACAAATTCTCAATTTGGGAAGCTTCAATCAGATTATCAAAAGACAATTGTAGAACAAACTGCACTACAATGCATTACCGCATACTGTTTTGTGATTATTTCTAAGTGTTTATCATTACCCAGATTTGGGAAATTATTCAAACATCCATAAGAAGCAACCTCTATAGGAACTTAGTTGTGAGATTTCCAAAGATATATATTAAAGGAAGATCAAAAATTATGGTGCCATATAGCGTGTAACAAAGCAGCTACTTATTAGAAGACAAAACCTTAGATATATTCTTCTTAATTAAAGGAATTAATGAGCTGTGTATGTCTATATACGTGCATATTAAGGGAGGTGGAGAAACATGTAAATGTGTGCGGGGACTTTCACACCACTCACGAGCCGAGACCACTTTGTTTAAGCGGTTGGAAGAAAAAAGTTCTCTGAGCTTCTCAGATTCCTTCCTAATTTTTAAGTCCATATCATTCATAAACCATTCATTTCTCTTCTGTATTCCAAGGTAACAGAGGTCTCTATATTTTTGCTCCTCAGATAAACTCATTTTTTTCTCTTTCTTTTGAAGTTGAACCTAAGTCAACTCTTTCTCAAGACTATGCACATACGAAATTGCTCTGAATTTGGGAACAACCGAGTATTAACTTGAATTTAGAAATCTCTCTGAACACAATGATTTGTTGTAGATCATTATTCTAGATTTTTAATTTTTTACTTTAAAAAGTACAGTTGTGAAAAGTAATACACATTCTTGATATTCTATTTGGAAAATACAGGAAAAAAACTAAAAAAAAATGTAACCTTACATGGATATATACATATATATACATAAGTGTTTGTACCCTTGCACAGGAGACCAGACTTTATATAGTACTATGTAAACTTATATCCGCTTTTCTCTTAATATTAAATCACAAGCATTTTCTTGCATTATTAAAAATACTTCAAAAATATTTAAATGCATCCTTTAAACAGTCCCCCATTCCTGAACATTTTGATCCTCTATTTTTTTCATTATCATAAATAATTCTGTGATGACCCTCATTTTAGAGTGCAACAAGTTTAGACCTATAAAGCAAATGTGCAAACTGAAACTCAAGGTGTAGTCTGAAGGAGAGACGAAGAGGAGGTATGCAGGGAAGGAGGGAGACCGGACATCCAGGCCCTCAGCCGGCATTTGCCCCAGAAGGAGGGGAAAACTCATTACCACTCGACAGCTGCTCCATCGTCTGTAAAAAGTTAAGGGTTCAAACCTCTTGCCAGTGACCAGATGTCCCCGGCTTCACGTGTTACGGAGTGGTCAGTAATTGACTCGCAAGTGTGACGACGACAGTTCATGTGAGAGAAGCTGCAGGAGGTAAGTGGGACTGCACACAGAGCGCCTCGCTCAGACACAGTTTGCTTTAAGGATACAACTGTGTATGTATGAATTTATAAAGCATTTAAGCTAAAGGGACTAAAGACTAAAGGAAACCTAAAGGAGAGAAAACAGTTAATGCGTCACAATGATAGAATGCAGTGAAATAGCTTTTTAAAGTTTTCTCTTATCGTTGTGCTTTAGATGTCTTATACTAAAAACCGAGAGAGAAAAATAGGCAAGTTTGGTGAAAAAAACTTATTTTGTGACATCACTGCATGAGCAGGAGATTCCTGGGCCCAGGGGTGGGGGCTGAGGGGACATGGGGTGGGGGAGCAAGGGCAATTAAAGAGCAAGCTGAGGGGGAGGGGTGGAACTATAATATCTATAATATCAAAATCCTTAAGATACCTTGTGATTCCTTACAATACCCTCATTTTATTTTCAAAATTCAACTTCACTAACCTGACAACTTTTAAGCAGTTCTCACGTCTAAAAGTGACCATTAACAAAGCTATCAGCAGTCTGAACACATGCAAGACCCACACACTGAACTATGGTGTCGTTTTTATACTCATTTTGCCGCTTGATCGCGTTGCCACTTTGTACCTGCATATAGCCTCCGGCCTTGGGGTTAATTTGAAGGATTCTTTAATGCCCAGAGAAAAGATACTTGAGATTCAACTGATTTTCTTAGATCATTAATCCAAATATTATGGTAACGGTAAGTAATATCTTTGATAGTTAGCTATTCCCCTAGAAGAGGGCCGCAGCCTCCTACTCTGTGGACTCACAGTCTCCTTTGAAAATTAGATGAGAGCTATGTATCCTCTTCCTGGAAAAATGCGCATGCACACAGGCAAAGTTCTACAGAAAATTCCCAGAGGCCTCTGGACTCCCTGAATCCCCATTAGCAACCTCTATATCAGAAAAAGAGGAATTTATAGAGAAATAGTAAACTGGCTGACTACGCGGTGTAGAGGGAGATAAAGGAGGGATGGACAGGAGAAAAGGAAGTTTCCCATTCTGGGCCAGCCTTGTCCTAGACTTTCCCTATTCTTTACTTTTCGCAGAAGCTCTGTGCACTACATATTATTATTTTTCCATAGTCAAGGAAACTACGGTTCAGAGAGGCTATGCAACCCCCAACAAAGCCATCGTGCTGGAAAGTGGCAGAGGCAAAATGCAAACCTGCTGTCTTGACTTTTTAAGTCCAATGTACATTTCCTTTAGCGCTAAGTCCGCTTACTGCTTTTTCATCTTGGGACTTCTCAAGACAGAACTGAACCATTAGACCAACCGCATCTGCTAGACTGTGAACTCCCGGAGAGTAGGGTCCGTGTCCCATTCATTTGATGTCTCTGGTGCCTGGCACGTAGAAGGCACTCTTTAAAGGAGAATGGAATGTATAAATTAACACACTGGGGCAACAATCCCATGGACAGTGGCAGAAGCTATATGCCTCTGTGTTGCCACAAGATAAAAGTCCTTGTCACTAAATATTCCTTTAGATGAGCACTGGGCGCAGACTTCAATATATTGTAAAACATACATGGTAAAACTCTTTTGTGCAGAAACAGCGTTAATCCTTTTGAAAAATAATCTATTCATAAACCACAAAGCACCTTTACAACAATCTGCCTAATATTATCAGGTCAACAACTAACATCTTTTGGTAGTGAATTACTGTATCATGGAAAACCAAAATCATGGAGAAAATAAGTGCACAAATTAGGACTATTTCTAAAGATACTTAATTTTACAAATTTCATAATAAGAACTTAAATGCATTTTTATTTTTGCAATAATTGCTCCGAAGATGAAAACTAAGGCACCATTTCAATGTAGTAAAGGTAATTGCTGCATTTACTGCTCATGTCATGTTGATGTATGAGTATGTATCAAAGGTCATCCTTCTGTACTCATACATTATCAAATTTGAAAGCACAATATTTGATTCTGACCAACCTTTAAACTGCCCACAATGTGTGTGAAAAATAGATGGAGTTCTTCCTTGGGTTTGAGAAAAAAATGAACCCATGTTTCGGAAGCAGAAGGGTCAAGAAGCCAGCAGCAAGGTTAGATGTCAGCACTATGAATCTCACAGTGTCTTCGCTTATCAATGAGGTCTAGTACAATGATCACAAGCTAAAATTGCTGTACTAATGAAGACAAAGGTCTAAAAAATTAGATAGCACGGGCCCTCTGACAGAGGGCAGTACCTTGTGGACAGTAATGCAGAAATACGGACATAAATCACTCTTGAGAGACAATAAAACCTATAATGCACAAATTGAATTGTTTACATGTCTATCGGAGGCACCGTTAAAAACAGAAGCGTCGGGCACCACACCTCTTGTTGCTCATCTGGAACGCAGCAGCCCCGAATTCAGCCTATTAGAAGGCAAGTCACCTGCTTCCCATCTCTCCTCTTCCAACTCCAAATACACAGCACGACTGTCCCGACACACAATTTAGTAGTCTTGTGTCATCCTACCCTACATGGAGTGCTGGACAGTCACGCGAGCTTCAAACTACCGCTTACAATTGTTTGCTGGATGGATAAATCGGTTTTATCAGAATCTGCTAAAACCTGAACAGATGCTGCTCTCTCCTTTGGTGGTTGGGGGTGGGGGTTGTAGGGGGCGGGGGAGGACAGCAGGAAAGAGAAAATCTCTGCTCTTCAGTGATGATTGTGGTTGTCTTTAAATAAATAAAATACCATTTAATTTCACCAGGCCCAACCACAGGAGATTGCCTTATTGAGAAGAGAGATCATACAAACACGTGAAAAGAACCCAAGTCTTCAAACACCAAAAGAAAAAAGTGTTCTGGAAAGAATTCACAACATCCTCCCCAAACATGTCTCAAGCATACCAGTTTTATTTCAGCCTGTGTTCAGTTTATTTTTTTTTAATTTACTGCATCCTATTCTGAAAATTTATGTATTCTTTGGCTGTGCGAACACTCATAATTGAGCATACAAGTTCATTCCAAAATTTGGCTCCTTTTTGTTCCTAGGAAAAAGATTTTTTAGAAAGCAAACCACTATAATTTAATAAAATGGGTCAACGCTTGGCAGGTTGGCAAAGTCTTTAGAATTCTTGCTATAGACAGTAAGGCACAAGTAGCCTGTTTCATTATTATAAAAAAATAATGAATAACTTAGCTGCCTATAATTCATAAAATATACCACACTAGAGCAAGTTTTAATTACACTTGCCATGTACAGTATACATTGCCTTTTAATGGTTTTTTGAGTAAGTACTCAACTTTAAGGTCTGAATTCCTATGGCCTATATACTGAAAGAGGAAATATTCTTAACTTATATTGCATGTGAGTGTGCACATGCGTGCGTGTGTATGTGTGTATCCAGTCTCCACCAGATACAGTGTCAAAAAAGCAGTAACTGGGGCCAGCCCCGTGGCCAAGTGGTTAAGTTCGTGTGCTCTGTTTCGGCGGCCCAGGGTTTCGCGAGTTCGGATCCTGGGCTTGGACATGGCACCACTCATCAAGCCATGCTGAGGTGGTGTCCCACATGCCACAACTGGAAGGACTCACAACTAACATATAACAAGTTGTATATATATATATATATATATATATATATATACAACTATGTACTAGGGGGCTTTGGGGAGAAAAAGGAAAAATAAAATCTTTTAAAAAAAAAGCAGTGACTTAATTCAGAAAATTCCTAACTTAATGTCAGTTATAACATCAAATGGGTCAGAAATGAGATAAGGAATAAACATAAAAACAAAAAAGATATTTTTAAATACTCTATTCCATAGCTAAATAAAATATGGGATCAGGGGATGGGGGGGTGTAGGGATCTTCAAGAATAGGAGTTTGTTAAACAAACTCAAATTATTTCATACACAATTTAGAAACCTTACCCAAAGAACAGCCTCGTGTGAATTAGGAAGAGCTCCGACACTGTAATCCCACCCTGGCACTTCGGCTCTTAGGTCGTCTCTGGGTCACTTCATTTAGTTATTGAGCGTCTCTGCCAGGCACTAAGAATACAGAAAGGAATGGCTCCGCCCCACCCTCCCTGTGCTCACAGTCAGCTTGAGCTAGTCCTCACTTTCCAGCCCCCATTAGTTCATTCGTAGGAGTTTCAGTAGAAGTAGCACACCAACCACTAGTTCTCCTCAAGTCAGGTCTATCCCTTATTTATGCGAGTCCACCCTCTGCACATATGTATGTGCAGCAGACACCATGCCAGGTTTTAGTTGTTTTAATTTGTGGTGTTTCGTTCAAAGAGAGCAAGAGTGAGCAAATAAAAACTGAGAAACATGGCCTATCTTCAGTGTTTAATATCAAATGAGGGAGGCAGACAGTAACAAAGGTGGCGCTACAAGTCACTTATAGTGTATAAGTGCAGTGGGAACAAGCAGCAAGCGACTGCACAGGAAAGATGAGGAAGATGTCACTCAGCAGGGTACAGATAAAGCTGAATCTTAAAGAAATAAGAGTTCAGTAAGAACCCCATCGTATAAGATCAGCACAGGGCGTCTCTCAGAAGTACAAATGCTCAGCTGTGGTCAGAGCATAAGGAGAGTCATGCAAGAGAAGACTGGAAAAGTGATTTCCATTCTGAAGGGCATCTTACAAGCCACCTAAGCAGTCAGCTGTACATAAATAAGCATTAGAAGATTTTTTAAAATTTGTGATCTAGAGAGTTCCAACAGCAATGTGGATGATGGATCAAAAAAATTTTAAAAAGACAAAAGAGTTAATGGAATTTGCCTAAACTGTGAGTAACAAGTTATCTGGCCCTTCCCCTACTCAATAATTCAAATAACTTTGAGATTTGCAATATTCCCCATGCTATAAAATCTGCAGTAAGACTACAGCAGTATTTCCCATTCTGGGCATGTGTGTTCAACAGATAATTTATTGTGTCTTCTATCTGTCAGACACTAGGAACATGATAGCAAAAACAGATATGGCCCTGCCTGCAAGGAGCTCATAGTCTGGTGCGGGAGATGATATTATGAAAGAATTTCAAGGGGAGGGTGTGTGAGTGGAGAGTCTGACAAGTGTTAGGCTAAGAAAAGACTGCCCTGAAGATGTAACACTTGAATTATCACAAAAATATGAGAAGCCCAAGAGCAGATTTCTTCCAGCTGCCAAAGAAGGACAGGCTCATAGGTAGCGAAAAGGAGCAGGACTTAAAGATCCTAGGTTCCAATTCTGTTTACAACATCCATAAACTAAGTGGTACTCCATCTGCTCACAAGGTTGTTTTGAGAGCTGTAAGAGCGTGGATGTGGAAGTACCT